GGGGGCACGACTTTTTAATACACTATGTATATTTCCTGAAACTAGGAAGAATCCAGTTTCAGAAAACGCGTTCTCCGGAAAAAGGGCGGATGCGCGCATACGCCTTTGTCCCAAAGAACTCCATGTAACCTGCCGGCACGGCGGTGTCTAGAAGAAAAAAATCAGTTGCATGAAATTTTAGCTCTATTTTCGAGTGACCGCGGTGTTGCGCTGTCAATTATGGGTTTGCACCTATAGATGCTTGTCTGAGGGATATTTTCTTGAAAAAGTAGCAGATTTGTCAATTGTTCATGTGCCTCCGTTTTCCTCGTTGGCATGAGATGAGATAGGTCCGGTCAGCACCCGATATCTCCGAAACGCGCCACGCCGCGCAGCGCCTCGTCGCACAGTTTACATTTGATTTGGAGCGGCCTATGCGTGAAACTAAATTCGGCGATAGTACCTTCTTTGTCCGTTGCAACCTCCCGCCTTGATCAACTGGATCGCGCTATTTTCCCTTTGTCTTCTTTGTCTACAGCTTTGTCTGTCAATTTCACTAATCAGCTCGCTGGCGGTGTTACTTTTTTGCAATAAATTAGGGGGCTTGTACTTCCAACGTTCCCCGAGTGCGCTTCGCATACTTCAAGATGATAGAACAGTCAACGCGCCTTCATTTATTTTGCACGCAACTCGTGCGTCCTTCAAGCACGAATAGTTGCATCAAAGTGTCTGGCGTTGTGTCGAGCGGTCACGATGATATTAGAATACGTTTTTATTTCCGAAGCAGCATTTATCAACGGAAAAATCGCGATTTGTTGCGATCTTGTCGGCGATAAAATCGCTAAGATGGTCAACATTTGAGCGATTATCCTCGATCCTGTTGCAATAAAATTGCGATTTTATCGCCCGGCAATTTATCGCGATATTTTTGCAACAAAAATCGCGAAATATGGCGAATTAATCTCGATTTTACCGACGGAAATTGACCACGATTTTATTGAACAAAAAATTGCTATGCGTAGCAATTTAATCGCCATAAATCGCAATTTTTCATTGCGATAAAGTGCCACCGATATAATCGCGATAATCAACCGATAAAATCGCTATTTATCGCGATCACTGCTATTCGGGTTTTTTCGTTTGTTGAAAGAAAAGATTTTCACGCCTTTGCACTAGACTCAGCATGAGAACCTAATTCCTTCAACATAACCTGCATCAGACCTGCATGAGGAAAAAATGTAAGAAGAATCGAGAAAAAAAGTGGGGAAACGCGAAATTATGGTTTTCTTCGAGTTACGGAATCTAGTATTTTCTATTTTGATTCTTATAATTATTTTTATGGTTTAGCAATTAACGTCTTCACCATTATTGGATTTCTGTCGGGCAATCAATTTTAATTCCTATTTTCAACCAGGCGGCAATGGAAAAATAATTAAATTAAAAAAAAAAAAAAAAAGTCAATCAATTCAATACCTAATCAGCCCACAGTTTCATTTTCTTTTTCAAAACAGGTTAGACCTACCCTCTGAGAACATTGGATCATAGCGAAACGGACCGATTATTGAAATTTATAGACAAAGCTTATGGATAAAGAAGTCAAAAGGGATATCAACGGATCCTATTGGTTGAAGCGGGTGCGGTTGCAATGGAGAAAGGAAGAAGGTAATATACCAACTAACGGCAACCCAAGAGAGACCCCATACTTAGTCCATACTATAAGAACCACCCATTTCAACCGATAAGATCGATTCATATTCCCTATGTCTCCTTTGTCTATAGCTTTGTCGATAATCAGCCCTCTGGGTCTATGAAAACTAGTGGGAGCATATTTATTTGACATTGTCAGTGAGGCGGCGAGGAACTGGAAAATTCAAGCACAATTTGGTGTTAAGGTGTTTCGTCAAGCTCAAGTGACGTGGTCGAATTGGCTTGCGATAATTTATATTGATTAGGTCAAAAATCTCGGCAGATTTTAAAAATTTAGCACCCAAAAAAGGACACTAGCCCGTGCGCATGAGCCTAAAAAATCATTCTAAACCAAAAAATTAACAAGATGTTGAAAAATGAAAGCAGAATTCTGTTTGGGAAAAAACCTTGCATTCGATACAGATATCGATGACTGTATCTCTCGAATGCGAGGTTTTTTCTAAACAGGATTCTGCTTTCATTTTCCTACATTTTGCTAATTTTTTGGTTTAGAATGATTTTTTAGGCTCATGCGCAGGGGCAAATGTCTCTTCGTTGGCTAAAAATTCCTAATCTGCCGAGATTTTTAAGGTAATCGATGCGATGTATCGCAAGCCAGTTGGACCGCGATACTTGAGCTTGACGAATTACCCTAACCACCCACTTTCAACAATAGGCTGCCTCCATTTTCCTTTGTTTTCTATGTCCAGCACCGTGTTTATCGGTTTCCCTTATTAGCCGGAGGGTGAAGGCAGGGGGTCTAGCATCAGGATTTTCCCGATTCTATCAGGATTTAATCCCGATTTCATCAGGATTTGAGAAAAAATCGGTCGTAAAATCAGGATTTGATAAAAAGTGGCCGTCCGATTGGATCGTCTTATCGAGCTATTTTTGTAAAGTTACATTTGCCTCTTTTTCTCCGCAAAAAATCAGGATTTGGAAAAATTATGAAATCAGGATTGCATCGCAGGATTTGGAAAAATTATGAAATCAGGATTTAGCAGTCAAAAATTAGGAAAAATCAGGATTTGGAAAAATTGTGAAATCAGGATTTAGCAATCAAAAACCAGGAAAAATTATGATTTCAGGATTTTGCAGTCAAAAATCAGGATTTGGAAACATCATGAAATCGGGATTTAGCAGTCAAAAATCAGGATTGCATCGCAGGATTTGGAAAAATTATGAA